AGCCAGAGCGCTGGAGGCATGTCATGAACGCTGCGTGGCCGGCCGGCTTCTGTTCTCCGGGCTCTCCAGGATTTGTTGGGCAAGCCTTCTGGTTCCCCAGGTTCTTTGGTTTTTCTCTGGGCAAATCAAGTCTACATTAATGAATGCCTTTCCTGGCCGCTGGCTGGTGGTCATGCAATATTGTTTGCAGCCGCAGCGGCGTTGTCCCGATGGCGGCGGCGCAGGCCCTCTTCGCGGGTGGTCAGCTGATTTCGCGAGGCCCCAGCCAGCCCCGCCCCCTGCGACGATGCCAGGGCAGTCTGGGGGCAATTTTTTGTGTATGCCATGAACCCCATCAAAGCGATATGCAGGCGTATAAGCCGAACGTTTATACGCCAAACACGCCCTGTAAAAAATATCCCAGTGCGACCCTACCTAGGAGTTCGAGCCTCTAGGACAACAACATTAGTATATATATATAGCAACAGCAATAGTGGATGCTGTGCTGCGCTGCGCTATGCTGTGCTATGTTCTGCTCTGCTCTGCTCTGCTCTGCTATGCTATGCTCTGCTCTGCTCTGCTCTGCTATGCTATGCTATGCTGCGCTATGCTATGCTATGCTGGGCTATGCTATGATATGCTGTGCTGCGCTTTGCTATGCTACGCTATGCTATGCTATGCTGTGCTCTGCTATGCTAAAGCTCCGCGGAGCTAAGATGAAGGTAAGCTAAGATCAACCTGAGCTAAGATGAAGCTAAGCTAAGCTAAGATGAAATAAGCTAAGCTAAGATGAGATAATCAACGCTAAGCTAAGGGGACGTAGCTGGGGGAACCGCGGGGCGGATGCTGGGGGAACCGCCCGGGGCGGGGAGCGCTGCCAGGCCCTTTAAGACCACAGGGTAAGAACCCTTCTAGGCAGAGCCTAGGTAGGGAACAAGTGGCGGCATGCACCGAAAATGGTGCGCGCCAATCACCTGAGCTGGGATTTCGGGCTGCGGACTGTAGGTCGATCGGCAGTAGGTCGGAGGCAATCGTGCATCTGGCCGATCCTTAGTCGCGTAGATCGGCTTCGAGATCCACGCCCTGGCCGACGGGCGGCGCTCGGGGCCCGGCCGATCTGGACCTGCTTGGCCGATCGATCTCCATCGCGGGCCATCTGAGGTCATTGCGTTGCGGCGCTGCGTGAGCCCGTCGTGCAGCGACTGCCGCGAGTTCATTTACGACCGCCAGGACATTTTGTCACGTCTGTCAGCGCCGCCTCCTGACGCGCCGCCTGCCGGGTAGGCGCCCGCGCGCCCGCGTCCCGGGATCTCTCGGCGGCGGGCGTTTCGCTGCTCAGGGCCGCGTTCGAGAAGACCGTGGCGGCGTTCTAGGCAAGCGTGGCCGAAGGCGCCGACGGGGTGCGGACCTTCGACGCTTCCTGCAGTTGCCGAACGTGTCCAAGTGCCGCCTCTGGAAGAAGCAGTTTGGTGCGTGCCCCCCGCGGGTGTTGGCGTCGCGCATCGCGCGGCGCGCCGGGGTTCAGGTGGGCTCGTCCACGAGCTTTCGCGGGCGCGCCCCCCCAAGGGGTTCAAGGCAGAAGTCCGCAGGGATGCGAGGTGGCACATGCCAGGCCGCCGATCCACCCGCAGGCGTCGGGGAATTATCTGCGACAGGAAGCAGCCCGAGCACGTCCGCGGCCTTCGCAGCGTCTGGGCCGTCAAGGTCCGAGCGCGTTACCGCCGCCGTCTGAAGCCACTCCGGCGTGAGGGGCTGTGGGCCTGGCAGTCGGCGGCGCTGGCGATCCGCTCCGCAGGCGTGCCCGTTCAGTCGGGCACTGTGCCTGTGGAGCGCCTGCGGGAGTGTCTCAGAGGGATGCTCCCGCGAGGCGCCCGCGCAGTGTCGCTTCGCTGGTTCAATGCCCTCAGCCAGCTTGCGTTCTTGAGGTTCAATTACCGGCGCTATGGGGCGGGGTGCCTGCCCGCGCGGGCAGAGCGGGCCTCCGTCCTGGCCCAGCGCGTGGAGGGAGTCCCGGCTGATCGGGATCGATCCCTGATCGCGTAGATCGGCTCCGAGATCCACGCCCTGGCCGACGGGCGGCGCTCGGGGCCCAGCCGATCTGGATCTGCTTGGCCGATCGATCTCCGTCGCGGGCCATCTGAGGTCATTGCGTTGCGGCGCTGCGCGAGCCCGTCGTGCAGCGACTGCCGCGAGCTCATCTACGACCACCAGGACATCTTGTCACGCCTGTCAGCGCCGCCTCCTGACGCGCCGCCTGCCGGGCAGGCGCCCGCGCGCCCGCGCCCCCGGGATCTCTCGGCGGCGGGCGTTTTGCCGCTCAGAGCCGCAGTCGAGAAGACCGTGGCGGCGTTCCAGGCAAGTGTGGGCGCAGATGCCGACGGGGCTGCGGACCCTCGACGCTTCCCGCAGTTGCCGAACGTGTCCAAGTGCCGCCTCTGGAAGAAGGAGTTCGGCGCGTACCCCCCGCGGGGGTTGGTGTCGCGCATCGCGCGGCGCGCCGGGGTTCAGGTGGGCTCGTCCATGAGCTTTCGCGGGTGCGCCTCCCCCCTGGGGTGCAAGGCAGAAGTCCGCAGGAATGCGAGGTGGCACATGCCAGGC